TTTGTATTCATACTTGGTTTTATGTAGTTTGATGTTTTCTGATCTTAGTTGAGATCTAAGTTCAAGAATACTGGGAACCATCTAAGGCTGTTTTGTTCTTTAAAATTTTACTTTTATTGAGTCGGTAAATGGTAGTGATTGAGAGTATGAGATCTAGAGCTAGGTTGCCTGGGTGTGAGGCCTAAGCAGGTGACTTTAGGCAAGTTATGTAATTTCTTTCTGCCTTAGGTTTCTGAACTTTATTAAGTGGGAAGTAACAATATTATCTACTTCAGAGATGTGATGATTAAGTTATGTTATATAGTTGCATAGCACATATAAAATGTTAGCTATTTGTATTTCTGTGATATACTTGTGATTAAATTTGATTTTTATAGGATACAATTTAGTATTTTTCACATTATAATTTTGAGATTTAGGGAACCTTATAAGTCTTGATTCCAGGACCAAATGTGAGGGTGACTTGAGAGAGAAAAAAACAACAATTCTCTTTTTTTCCTTTCCTTGTTAGTTGAGTGTAGTGTATATATATTTTTTCATGTTGTTCCTTTTTTTTTGTGAGTAGAGCAGCACTGTTCAATAGAATTATCATGCAGTAATTTTACATTTTCTAGTGGCCACATTAATCAAGAAAAAGATATATGTTTAATTAATTTTGCTTATATTTTTTACTTAACTCAATATATCAAAATTATTATCTTTTCAATAAGTAATTGATATAAAATTATTAAGGTATTTTACAGTCATATTTTTGTGTTGTCTTTAAAATCTATTGTGTATATTATATTTACAGCGCATCTTAATTTGGACTAGTCACATTGCAAGTGCCCAGTAAGCTCATGTGACTAGTGGCCATAGTCTTAGACTGCACAGCTATAGGGTATAAATGACATTATATATATATATATTTCACAGAGGGGGGTAAGAGATAGAAACATCAACGATGAGAGAGAATCATTGATCGGCTGCCTCCAGCACACCCCACACAGAAGAGTGAGCTTGCAACCAGGGCCTGTTCCCTGACGGGAAATCGAACCATGACCTTCTGGTTCCTAGGTCAACGCTCAACCTCTGAGCCACACCACTGGGCAGGGTATAAATTTGTCCTTTTTAAGTTAGGGAGTTTTTTATTTTATTTTACAATAATTGATAAAGCTAGATGCACCTCATAGGTAGATAGAAATTACAAGTTTGTAGTGTGAAAAGAGAGGTAAGGAAAAGGTTTGGATTTGGGAATGACCAATGAATATATACATGGTAATTGAAATCTTGAAGTCAGGGGCAGAATGAAATCATAATATCCCTACGGATAAACCCTAGGGAATTCCTAGAAAGGAAGCCAGGGTAAAATAGTGAAAACCCATAGGCCAGAGGAGAGTTGTAAGGTGGTCATTCCCTGAAAAGCAATGAAAAAGAGTTTCAAAAAGGCTGGCAGGTAGGAGTGCCAAATGCACAGTCTAGCTGTGTGAGGAATGAAAATAGTCAATTATTCGGTTATTGCCAACCTTAGCAATGACCGTTTCAGTAGAGTGATGACCAAGGAAGCCAAATTGTGGTAGTTTGAACATTGAACAAAAATTGAACTGAAGACAGTGACACTATATTATTGTTTTATGAAACTTAACACATTTCGTACCGCTCAGGAGTTTTCTCGTGTTTCGCGCACCATCTGTTAAGGCCCGCTCACGAGTGTTCTCGTTTTTCACGCCCATGGAAAAAGGAGCGAATCTAGATACTTATGTAAATGTTGTTTGGTCCCTCTTCATAGAGGAAAATGTTTTACGCAGTACCATACGTTAAAAAAGTACTAGGAACTTTAATTATTTAATTGTTTTTGTAAATAAAAATGTTATAATTATTGAAAAACAACACCTAAAGTGCATTATGGCCAAAACTGGTTTGA